CCCCCCTTCCTTATTTGGCTTCAAATCGAGAAGGTTCCAGAGCACAGCGTGGAACTGCCACTTTCCAAGTTGATCCCTGGATCAGTATTCATTAAACGGAATCTATATATGCATTTTTTTTTCAGTGCTCTCTTCAATGATCTTAAAAATTGGTAGACCTGGCACTTGCTTTACCTAAATAGCTTTCCAAGAAATGTAGGAAAGAGGATCACGTTTATCATGTTCTCCACCACTTGTGTTTACCAGTGTGATCTGTTCTCTCCCACTTCTTCTAAGGTACGTTTCAGAAGATACACTGCAGCATGAAGTCCCCCTACGTTCACCCAGACTGTCTGACTCTTTCGCCATAAGCGTCCCATTCCTGACAAGGCCTATGTGCAAAAAAGAAGACAATTAGTATTGGTGGAGCTAGTTCTGAAACTTATGATTAAGGTTGCTTAACATTGTCTATTATAAGCCTTTTATTCAATAACCAAAGTGACTATTCAAGGCTAAAACTTTCCATAAAATTTTCTCTCTGCCTCTAAAAACTAGGATTAAGTCTCTGAAAGCCCTTCAGCCTTTTCAAAGAGTGAGGTGAAGTGAACTTGACAGTTTTACCAATGTTAAATTTTCTAAGTTTTTCCCACGCCTTTCTTTGAAAAGCTCTAACATTTCCATGTTTTGGGACAGGAATTCAAATGTCAAAAAATGTTAAGGTTGCCTTTTACATGTACTTATTTTGCTAGTTTTTGATGACATAAGTGTGCACTGTTTTACTGAGACCCGTAGCTCATTCTCTGTATAAGATGGGCAGTGAAGTAGGAAGAAGGCTGCAAGAACACAAAGCATATTCTAATTTTTTAAACATTACATTCGGACTTAAGAGACCTGTTTCAGGCTTTGCTGGGCTTCCTATGTGTTGTTTGATTAGACTCCCTTAAAGCATGTACTCAATGAAACTGAATTAACGTGGCATAAGCAATTCTGCTATTTCCTAACTTTGTGCTTGACTCTGCAACCTAGATGTAATTTACTATTTAACATGTATTCCAAGTTTAAAACCACACTGATCTGCCTTAATTTCAGGGGTCCTTTTAGTGCACAAATAACTGTACTTACAAGTGCTCTGCTAGGCCATCTGAAGTTGAATATCACACACCATGTATTCCATTACACCAATTCACTTTGCTTCCTACATCTGCTCACCTTCGTGTTAGGGACATTCAGAACATGGAGCAAAACGCAGTTGTTTTCCTTAGTTTTTTTCTTGGGGAGGAGTAACGAGCTGAATAATGTGTGTATCTGGGACTGAAGTTTGGGAACTGGAAAGGCTTCACCCCCTCTCTCTGAAGGATACTATGTATATATGATACATTACAATCTGCCTGGCAACTGACTCCCCAGCCCAGCCCCAGGCTTGTTTACTTTTCATTCCATCCAGGAAGAGCACACACCAACTGCTGAAGCTTCCTTAGCCTGACGAAGGATTTTTGAACCCGAAAGCTTGCTTAATAACTATTCTCCAACCATTTGGGTTGGTCTAATAAAAGATATCAAATTCACCCAAGGAACCTTGTCTGCCTATGTATATATGATAAACTCACCATCCCCAGCAGAGCACACTGCACTGTACTGCATTGCTCTGGGTTGCCTCTTGAACCAGAAGCCATGTAGCTGCTACTGTAGCGGCCTCATTTAGTTTAGGGACATGCTAATCATTCAGTAGAGCTATTTACCACGCCTTCTGTGCTAAGTGGTGGCAGTTACACCACTTCTGGTTCAGGTGGCCTACAAAAACTAGTGCAGCATTCTTGAGGGCCCTATCTCCAATGATGGTGAGCTTACAATGTAGACACGGACAGTTTTTTCTAGCGTTGTTTCAACATGTTTCAATTAATCTTTTTGCTTTTAATGTTGGCACGTGCTTACATGTTTGATAGAAGAGAGCTGAATTATGTCAGGTGGATTTTTCTAAGGTTTTACTAAAAATTCAGATTTGACCCATGAAGCATCAGAATCTCTAGACAGGTGGTAAACAGTCAAAGCAGGAAATGCTGTATATTGGCTATAGTTTTATTAAGTTACATGGATAAACTTAAGTCTAATTCATTTCTGAAATTTATTTAGATAGCAAAAAACCCACGTCTCAGAAAATGATCTGAGCCTCTACTGTGGGGAAAAAAAACCTCGCATGTTTTTCGGTGGAACATTTTTAATTCAAGTACTGTTTTATTTTTAGTGCTGTTCTAGGTCTAGTACATAACTTGATTTTTCTGCATCTTTGGAGATGTTTTATGACCATCAAAATCATGATTAATGCCTAAAATGAACGAAATGGTGTACCTTAGCAAAGCACTTCTTGTCCTGAGTAAGTAGTACGGCTCTGCCTGTCCCAGGTCTGCAGATCCGACTCATTTCCTTAAGGCAGGCTGGATAGAGATCCCAGTTTTTCTTCTTAGATCCTATCCTAGAATGAAAATTTGGATCAATATAGTAAATGTGCCTATGAAGTACAGTTGAAAATAGTTAATTTTCACTTAGCATGAGTTAAGTTGTTCACGATCATTTTTACTACTTGTTTCCACCTACACCTCTCATGTATCAGTTTGGCTCCACTGGACTCATCGAGTAAAGGCAAGAAAAGGAGGTGAATCTTAACGTCATATAGCCATACGCATTAAGGAAATAATGGTTTTTACTGTTTAGTATAATGAATCGGAGCATCCTATAAAACCCTCAAACACGTCTGATATTCAAAATATATCAAAGAACCAAAGAAAACTGAAAGCCTTTTTAGAACGTGTAAAACTGCTGAATTGATTAGTTTGAAAATATATAACAAATCATTTTACTTCATCAGTCAAGAGTGAATCTGCAACGTTGTCATAATTCTCAGTATTTGTGTATCTTTGAAGCACGTACAAAGTTAAAGATTCCAGAAATTCTAACAGATATTAAGCTTTAGCAGCAATAACAACAGTTGTTCAAATATAGCTTAAAAAAACAAAACAAAAAAACCACAAAAAAACATACAGAGAAATTATGATTCTCACCTCTTTCCAAATGGCATGTCTGTCACAATAACATCCACAGATCCAGTCCTCAAAGGGAGACTGCAAATATCCCACTGGACGGTATCAAGGGATACACCCCAGGAAGTACTACTGCAAGTGCAAAGGTATTCATTTCAAGTGTGATCTATTATTTCAAACATTTTTTTCCAACTCAAATGCCCTTGGCATCATAATGTAATAGGACAATATGGAAAACCAAATGAAGCAAGTTTCTGAAAAATAGATTTCTTAATACAAAGAGTTGTGACCATCCCTTTTTACACTTTTCCTACCTTTCTTGATTCTGATTTTTCTTTAGTAGAGAGCAGATGTTACTTGCTATTCTCTTCATAGCCTGTGGGTTGTTATCACCAGCAATATGGAAACAGTTCGGCCACTCAGTAGCTCCCTGAAAACAAAAGAAGCTATGATAGAAGTCTGTTAAACTTGAATTGGTGGATTAAGAAAAAAGTTTGGAAAACTACCTGCACATCGGAAAACAACGCAAAACAATTACAAATAGACTTCAACAGCTTAAAAATTCCTATTGTATATGTATTTCAGAAATCAGAGCTCTTCAGGGGGCTGACAAGACTGACATTTAGCTACTTCCTGCTATGTCTTGCATGAAGAAGGTGCAACCATTTAGGAAAAGTATATTTGTAATTAAATTTAAATATCTTTCTTTGATATTTGGCTATTGGAACTGCAGAATACTAGTGAAAAAGTCTGCATGTAATCTACTGCTGTGAAGTATGCAGGATTTGGTGAGACTTGCTTTTAGGTGAGGCTACAGCCTAGCTAGGTTTTCTTTTTAAGCTAAAAACCCAGAAATTAAAAACAAAGGAAGAATTACCTCTATTGGTATCGCACCTGTTCCACACATTGGATCAACTATTATGTCACTTGGCTGAGCATCACAGAGTCTAAACAGAGAAGGAAGAAATGTTCATGAAAAGTCTTAACAGCAGTTTCTACAGAGACATTAAACTAAACTACTATTTAAACAATTCAAATTCTACCATTCCTACAAGAAGAGCAGACTTGAATAACCATTTGTAAACAATGTTCAGATTTTATGTACAGTGGGCACGTGCCCCTGTTTCTGTGCCGTCATTTAAAGGAAACGCTAAATGACATCACAGTAACAGCCGTTACTGCACTGTGCCATCAACGCAGTTATTTTTAGTTGCTACTTCACCATAGCCACACACTATAGCAAAGGAGTGCATCACTATGGCATAGCTGTGGTGTCATGGATTGTGCCTGCCGATGCTATGTCGTAGGGCTTTGCTACAATGACATAGTGGGTGCTTCTACACGAGATGCTGACGGGGAAATATTAAAATATTTTGATGGACGGCATAAAAATGTTTGAAAATTGTTATGGTCAATGCAAAACATACACTTGCCTGGCCTTATATTTAAGAAACCATCAAACCCATCATTGTGACTATTAGTAACTACAAAATATTTGTGATATCTGAGCTCTTTATTTAAAGTTAATAAAAAGGGCTAATCAGGAAAAAATGACCAAGAAAACAAAAAAAACCCCAAACCACAAACAAGTATGCACGTGTATCAGGAGCTAACCGGATTTAGTTTCCAGAATATTACACGGGAATTTAGAAATAATCCATAACTACCTGTACTGACCTGAGCATCCCATAGGCAAGAGTAGATCGAAGAGTTGTGGGTCCAAAATGTGTAATATTTCTTCTGTGAAGACTCTCTTCAGTTAATGCAATGCCCACAACCACTTCATTATTATGAATGTTTAAGAGGACCTGGAATGAATTTTGAACAACTGAATGCATTCATGGAAAAAAAGTTTTGCAGTAAGTAACATTTCAGCAACTGAGTCTAATTTTTTCCTCAGACATGGTATATTTTCTACCCTATTTTCCAAAGTGTCCTAAACATTCTCTTTGTGCTGTCCTAAGTTTATAGGTAGGAAAAGGAAACAGAGACAGGGTAAATCATCATAGTCCTAGGACATCAGACTGGCAATAAATACCACTAGTTCAGGTTCCCTGAACTACAGAGAAAACTACAGACAACACTGAAAACGCCTTAACGATATAGAGCTGGACACCTAGAGATTCACAAGACAAATTCACTGTATCTGTCAGCTTTTCCTCCATACAAAAGCCTGCCGGATCTCCTTTACAAATCTTCACCCTCCCCATAAATGAGAAACCTCACGTTAAAAATAACTGCTCACTGCCTTCTGTCCTGGTCAAGTATGTGTGAACATACCATACCATTAACTGAAAAGCAGGTTTGTGGTCAAACAATCTCATACAGATATAAAACACATTGGATTAAACCAAGATGCATTAAGGCCACAACATACAGCAGGGGTTTAGGTTGTAGCCGTGTTGGTCTAAGGACATAGGCCGACAAGGTTCCTTGGGTGTATTTGATATTTTTTATTAGACCAACCCAAATGGTTGGAGAATAGTTATTAAGCAAGCTTTCGGGTTCAAAAACCCTTCGTCAGGCTAAGGACAACATACAGCAGCACTCCCATTTAAGCTAAGCATGTAACTACGTGTAAGTGGGTATTTCTGAAGTCTCTGGTGTGTAATACCTCCACATCAAAGTTGGTCATGTCAGCCTTCCACTGGAAATGTTCTTGCACTGCTCCGCCAAAGTCTCTTGCTGCATCATTTGATGTAAAATTATGTTTGTCACCAGCTCTATTGCATGTAACACGGAACTTCAGCACTGGGGCTTCATTTTCAGATTCCTTGCAGTTACCAGCTCCATTTTCACTTCCAGCAGTAGCGAGGAATTCATCTTTAGCATCAGATTGTTTGCCGTTATCTACCGAGATAATGGCCTGGGTCTCCTGTCCGCCAGCAGATTCCAAACCTAAAGCATTTTGTGCCTGATCATCTGACTCCTTATCAGCAACTTTTGTATCTGTTTTCTCCTCCCCTTCTCCATCACTCAAGTTTTCTTTGCTTGCGCTACCCTGTGGGTTCTGTTTTTTACGTTTTGTCTTTTTCTTCTTTAGGTTGGTGTTTAGCTTCCATACTTTCAAAGGGTCTGTCCAAGGCAGTTGTTTAACCAGGTCTTCCAAATCCTTTAGAGACTCTTCCTTTAAAAGATTCAAAAAAGTCATTCTGTTTGGCATTCTTTTAATGGTAAACCTTCCCTTTTCTAAAATCACCTTACCAACCAGATATACTTTTTTTTTTAATCTAATGCATATTGTAAACACTCATATCTTATCTGCCATACATAGTATCATAACTGATAATGGAACTGTACTCTAAGGCCGCATCCACATGAGCAGGGCCATGCGTTTGCAGCAGCGCAAAGTTGTGCCACTACTTTGTGCTGCAGTGCATGTCCCTTGCTCATGTGGTTTGCAGCAGGGCCCATTGTTCCACTGCTCCATGTGCTGCAGCAGGGGCTGGCTAGGGCACAGGCTGCCTCTGGCCAGGGGTTAGCCAGCAAGCATCCCCCTACACTGAGGCACCCGGTACCCCAGCCAGCCGGGGAGTGGCACATAGAGATGGAGGGTGCTGGCAGTCCTGGGCTGTTTGCTTCCCTGTCTGGAGGCACACTGCCCCAATGAGCCAGGGAGTGGCTGGCTGGGGTGCAGGGTGCCTCAGGGCAGGGGCTCCACAGTGCACTGAGACAAGGGAGCAGGCAGCCCACTCCCCAGGTGGCTGGGGCACAGGGTGCTTCAGTGTGGAGGATGCCTGCCACCCCTGCATCACATGGAGCAGTGTGACAGTGTGTACCATTGCAAAACACACAAGCAGGGGTGTGCACTGCAGCTCTCCCATCTCCGCGTTTCTCCTGGCACACAGCACTTTGGCATGCTTGGTGCTGCCTTTTTTTCCAGGGTTTTTTTTTTTGCTACCTGGAAATCCTGATAGTAAATTTTGCCCCAGCACTGCTAATTAGCAGGCACCGTGCATAGCTTAATATGCAACATGTGTGGTTTGTGGTGCCACAAACTGCACATGCCTGCATGTCTGGATCTGGCTTAAGAGTCCCAGGAGCACCAGAATACTTAATAATTTATCTTGGTAGATGTTATGGTTAATCTTAATTTAAAAGACTAAGGACATGGTATATTCTGGTCACCTCCATATGAACTGCAGCATCCCATTTTCTCCACATCTGAATTTTCCTAAGAAACACCTGCAACTGATATGTGTTATACTGCATTGTTGCACATATATGCTACACTGTATTGGTGTTCTTTGATTTGAACAAATGTTTAAGAGAAATCTGGCAAGGGGCAGGGGGGAAATAAAAAATAATTCTGCCCAGAAGACTCAAAACACTTCTAAGTCTAATTTTACATTAAAACAAAACAAAAAACAAGCTCCACACAATCTTTCAGGAATTCCATGCTTAGTAATAATTAAAAAAAAAAAAAAAAAAAAAAAAAAAAATCACACCTGCCTGAAAATCCAGGTACAAAGTTAGCTCACCTTGGTTTCTTTAAACTGGTAATCTGTAAACTCTTTCACAACAACAAATAAGTTATCCACCGATCTTAACTGATGAACCTAAAAAAAAAAATGGAAACAAACATGGCATGTTCCTGGTATTTGTAAATACCTGTAATTAAAATTTCATTCAGTTACATTTCAAATTAAGATAGCTGGATAGCTATACCTCACTGAAGTCTGAATGCTTTAATATTACAGAGATAAGCTTCTGGTTTCTTTTTCACTCCTTTTTGTGTGCACACACCTAGCTTCTTTTTAGTACGTGTGGTCACCAAGACTGAAGTAGAACAAGGAGAGTAATTCCTTTTCTTAAAGTTATTTTGCTTTTGACTTCATCTAGTGTTACAAAAGCAACCCCCCCCCCAAAAAAAACAACCTGAACTCAGCTCTTGAACAGTGGCAGAGACAAATTGTTTAAAACATATTTATACATAAAATTGTATGTAAATATGCTACAAGCATATAAAACATAAATTGTTATTTATAACAAGAATAATTTGCCAATAATGGGAAGGCTTACAGTTAGTTGCAATTTGCCTTCTGTTTTTAGGTAAAAAGGCCAAATGAAGACAAAGAATCAGGATACAGTTTTGTGGTTTGTTTGTTTTTTTAAGAGATGCTTAGAAGTTGTATAGTTTGCTGTTTAAGAGCCAGCCCATTGAAACCCAGAGACCTCTGCGTGTCATGAAATGCTAGACATTTTTCCTTAGGTCTGTGCTGCATGCTATACCAGCATTTACTGCTCAGACCTGAGGGAGAATGTCCTGCATTGGAAAGCTGGTCTAACTCTTTCTCAACTATGCAGCTGGTCCAATAAAAGATCTTACCCTAAGTCTTGCCTCTCCCAGCCTTCTGCGACATACACAGGTCTCTGGGTCTGAACAGGCTGCCTCTTGCAGCTTGCCAGGAAATGCAGCCATAAGAACATGAGCATTGGCGTTTCCCAAGTCAGACTGGGTCCATCTCAATCAGTCTCGTGTTGCACAGTCTGGCGTGCTCTACTCGGTGTCCCCCCTAGCACACTGGTTTTAAACCTCTGACTATCGCTCCCATCCCTGTTATGTCTTTAGCGGTCCCAGGCAATCTGTTGCCTATCCAGTGGCCTCCCTTCCTAAGCCAGGCGTACAGCGTTTTGTGGTGGGCCTTGGCCAGGGTCAACTAAGAGGCCTGTGTTCCCCCACTTGGTGCACTCGTTTTGAACCTACGACCCTCGCCTTTGCTGTTTATTTATCCCGAGGAATCAACTGCTGTGTCCTCAGTGATCTCTTCCGGCTTATAGTTACGGGTCTATCTAAACCAGGGTGGAAGCTTGCAGTGCAGCAAATCTCACATCCCCCCCCCGCACCCCGGGGCTGAGTGGAGAGGGAAAAACCTCCCTCACCATCAACTGTCCCTCGGCCACTCCGTGGCTGTGAGGGAGAAGTGCGGTAACATGAGTGACATTAAAGTCTCGCTGCACCAGAGGATCAGGTAGGTCCCTGCTTGCTGGGCCTGGGCCTAGGCCGGGGGCGGTGAAATGGTGGATCCAGCCGGACTCAGCCCCGGCCGGTTTCCATGGAGACCCCGAGAGCAGCGCGGGGCCTGGGTTCCCATGGAGGCGGGCGCGGAGCTGCTCGGGGGCGGGGACCTGGCGGCTCTGCCCCTCGCAGCGGGGCCCCTCCCTCCCCGCGCACCTGCGCCAGGGCCTCGGCGGCGACGGCGAAGTAGATCTTGCCGCGGTCACGGCGCACGCTGCAGCGCGAGCCCAGCTTCTCCTCCACCTCGGCGGCCGCCGTCAGCTCGAAGCCCGTGGGCACGGTGGCGCCGATGGTGACCGCGGCCGCGGCCTCCTCCGCCTCGCACATGGCAACGGCGGCCGTCGGACCTCGTTTCCGGGAAGCAAACGTCGACCCGGACGCCTTTGCTGCCACTTCTGGTTCCGGCGGAAGCACGTCTGGGTGCCAAGCTGGGGCAACTGCGCAGAGCCTGGGGCGGGCCGCGACCACTGCGGGCTTTGCCACAGCGCCCTCTAGCGCGGCGCCCCGAGGCTGCAGAGCCCGTGGCAGGGGTCGGGTGTGGCCGGGAGGGCGCGACGCTGGCCCGGGGCAGCCGCACCGCGGGGTAACAGCTCCCCTCGTGGGAAAGTTTTCCAATGCTTTATTTTTCCGTGGGAAATTTCCCATTTCTAAAAATTCATTGTTTCATAAACTCCATTAGTAATAATGAATGGATGCTGATACAACATTAGGCAAACTTGGCAGTTTCAAAGTCGTAATTGATGTTTTCAGGTGATTGTCGCTAGGGAGTGTGCGAGAGAGTACACAGATGTTTTACTGATGTGTAAGCAGGACGTACATACACTCACATAATAATCCACACCAAAAATCAAATTATGAATTCACCCAGTCCGCCGTGCGGGTCAAATCAAAACCAAAGCGCGGCATATCACGCTCAGGTTTTCGGGTCTGCTAAAATTACTGTCTCAACAGCCTTCGGTGCCTTTGGTTTTTTTCTTAAATTGAAACAAACAACGTAAGGGAAGAACATGCTATTGAGCGTTGTCTTTACATTTTTACAAGTATTCCTATGAAAATAATTTATTTCCACATAAAGCTTTGAATTTATTTCAATATAACATTTAAACCACATTAAGTGTGCTGTATTTAATTTTTTTTTCCTAATCAAATATTTCAGTTCAAATATTTGTGGCTATTGGGACAAAAAATTTACATGGGGGTATTTTTAGTTTTGTTTGCTAACTAGAAAGTAAAAAAAAACACGCTAAATCAGATCATGCTCTATTTAGGGCTTTGGAAAATTTTCCCGAAAACCCACATCTCTGGGAATAAGGACTGGAGAAAGAATAGGAACAATGTGACTGAGAATGCGAATAATGTGAGTGGGACGTTGCAAAGCAGGGGGGGTGGCCCACGACACGTGTGCATGGGCGGCCTTGTGTGTGGGGCAGGCGGCCTAGCGGCAGACAGAGCAGGGAGCAACAAGCAGAGCAGCAGACTGCAGGGAACCCCCCCAGCCTGAAGCAGAAAGTAGAGCAGCAGATCATGCAGGGAGCATAGAGCTTGAAGCAGAAAGAGCAGCAGGCTGGGCAGGGAGCACGGAGTATGGAGCAGAAAGCAGAGCAGGCAGGGAGCACAAAGCTTGAAGCAGAAAGCAGAGCAGCAAGCTGGGCAGGGAGCACTGAGCCTGAAGCAGGAGGAGCAGCAGAGCGGGCAGGGGAAGGGGGTGGGCATGGCACTGGGGGAAGGTGCGGGGCTCATGGTGGCTCACCTGCCAAAAAGTTTGGCCCCACTGCTCCAAAGCCGTGAGCGCCGCAGCATCCTTCAGAGGATTCATTCTCCTGTAACCCAGCATCTCTACTGGGAGTAGCAATATCCATTTCTTGTGCGTCATTTCTGGATGCAGGGATAAACGTGCTGTGTTAGTGCATGAGACTAAGCCAGGTCTTGAAGGCATGCTGATAGTCAAGGCTGACCAGGGTCGGGTGGCTTCGGTGGCTATCATATTAGCTTATCCATATTATTAAGGGAAGAAGAACCTTCAATCATTTTTGGTGAGGTGTTCCATCCTGCCGTCAGACAAACAGGTTAAATGCCACCTCAGTGGCAGTGGCAGCCACCATTAGTTATCAGGCAGGGAGATGATTATCCTTCACAAGAGTCATTGGAGAATTGGGCTAGCATTTATCACTTCAGCTACAAAATCAGTTCAGAGATGGATGAGAGGGGTAAGCGTTTCTTTTAATACTGAGCATTACAGTTTTCATGCTTGCTTTTTACCAAGATAGCATACTGTTTGGCTGAGCATTTGTCAGATAGATCGAACTAGATTTTTTGACAGAATATTTTGGCAGGCTGACTTGTCCAGTCAATTTATTGTTCATTCATAGGGGATGGGATCTTTGTTACACATTAAACACAATTGACTTAAAATAAAGTCTTAAAAAAATGACTTGTTTTTAAAGTAATCCAGATCTTCCTAATGATACTAAGAAACCACTCAGGTGCTTGCCTGATGAGTTTTGCTCATGTCCTCAGGATGAAACCAGGTGTGGAGTTAGGAAGGGATTTTCCTCCAGGAAAATCAGTAAGGACTATGGAGGGTTTCACTGCCTCCTATGTACGCATCCCCACAGGCGCGCACGTGTAGTTTGCGGCACCTCAAACCACAAATGGCACACATGCAAGCATTCGCTGCACTGATAATTTGCAGTGCAGCATTTTTTTGATGCTGGGAGATCCTGGTGTAAAAAAAAAAAAAAAAAGCTGCTAAAAAAAAGCACAGCATCCATGGCAGCAGCACGTGCCGCCAGAATCCAGAGCCTAGCTGGGCAAAGCCACACTCTGGCTGCTGGCCAGGCTCCAAGTGGCTGCATCACTGACACTGATGCTCCGGGAGGCCCCCAGTTAAGGCCGCTGGGGCCAGCACAGTTTCTGGACTCAGCCTCCCCTACTCCACTCAGGGTAACCTGCTGTGCACCAGAGCATGCATGGCATGGGCATTCCCCGGGGACAAGTAACAGTGGCACAAGGTGTGCCGGTCTGTCCCTGGGGCAACAAATGTCTGCGTTCTTCTGGACACCCCAGAAATGGCAACAGAAAATTAGTGTGCATAGCCCAGTGTTTGTGACCAGCATCACAGAAACAAACCAACGTGCATAGTTCCATATCCATGACTGAGCCTGCAATACTGAAGCCAACAACAAAAAGCAACAGAAGAAAAACAGTGTTATGGTATTCAGAGCCATGTTTCCAGTGGATTGTTACAAAAATGAGATTACACATCACTTGAAAATTAAATGTGATTTTTAACATGATGAAAAATACTCTGAGCATCATTTGAAATCGGATGCGGTAGCAGCGCATGCAGGGGTGGAATGTCCTTGGAGTTCTTGTCCAGTGTTACGTGGCATATGTTACGGCCAGATCAATTTGCAAGAGGATATGCAATAATTTTATTACCGCTCTACAGCTGATTTGGATGATAAGATGTAATTTGATGAATGTTTTCTCTGTTCTGCTTGTTGTGTTGCCTTTCTCTTCAATCATGTTCCAATTCACATTTTTCAGGTGAGCAGATTATCGCTAGCAGTAGCATAACGACAGTACCCATGCCATAAGTGAACACATCTTGACAAGATTTATAGCAATGAATCAGCCTTACTGATTCAAGAAAGACCTACTGATTTGGAGAGTGAACATAGATAGCGGGTGAAATTTGGGTGCCATTAAATGTGAACAGGAGTTTTGCGTGTGTTGTGGATGCTGCCTGCATCCTAACAAGATCATTGAAGTAACTCATGATGGTACAGGAAGAGGCAGATTTTGTGCCTTTGTCCTCAAACAGGCCTTTTAAATGGTGGTATCCCAGGACAGAATGGGCAGGTAGAGGGAAACAGAAGCTTGATCATACGTAAAAGCAAAAACCCTTGCATTCATGGAATCCCTTTAGATCTGCTAGATCACATATATCCTGGGCATAAATTCAACAGTGGTTTTGAGGAAAACTTAAGACAATTTGGATCTGATTGTTCAGAAGCTCTGATGGAGGCAGCACTGATTGATGTCAAGATAGTTGGATTCAAAGCCCAATTCCATTCACTATCTATTATGGACTGGTTTGTGACCCTGGGCAAGAGGGTTGATACCTCTTCTAGAATGAAATTATATCACCTAGCATAAGTAGGCACATTCAAAGCTTGTTAATAAGAATGTGCCTGCTAGATGATATAATTTAATTCTAGAAGAGGCATCAACCTGCTTGCCCGGGGTCACAAACCAGTCCATAATAGAAGGTGAATGGAAGCAATTTTATCTAAGATGAGGTTATTCCATGACTGACTCCAGCAAAGTTTCTGCTGCTTCTCTCTGAAATGAAAGATCCAGAATGAAAGGGGTCATGACTCAAATGGGCTCACAGCATGTAATGAGTGGGCTTGCAAGACCCACAGACAGCTCTTGTGCTTGGGTGCGGACCAGAAGTGGGATTGTTGGGGGTAAAGATTTGGAACTGGTTCCCTGAAGCATTATGTGCTGGTAGGAAACTAGTTGGGGCCACCCCTGGTCAACTGTTATAGCAGTTTCTGTCCCAGAATAGAATTGGTGACGCATCTGGGTTTATTCCACTTTGATTTGTAGGGTATCAAACACAACTATAACTCTGGCATAAGACGTTCCTTCTTCTGTCTAATCCATCTGCATATGAGACCCAGCTGGATTCACCCATTTTTTAAAAATAAAATCTGCTAGTATTTTACAGAAATGTGGAGCCAATGAAAGGAGGTGCCTTCACTAAACTATTTAGTTCTGCACCTTTGTCTTTTGACTAGGATGTGGCTCTTTCTTGTTTACAGACCTTAATGCTTAAATAAGCCCCCTCCTGCTAGGTATAGGTTGTTTTCAGGCATATATTCTACTTCTGTTCCAGCACCTATCAGTACATAGATCCTACAGGGAGTCACCCTCGAGACCTGCTTCCTCATGGAAATGAGCTGGTTAGATGCCTGTGCAGCTGACAGAGGCAAGCAAGTGGAACTGTGCTGTGCACGTAAACAGCAATCCACCTCTGCTTTGATCTTCAAGGCCGGCAGGCATCAAACTGAAGAGCACTTCATATTTCAGATATGTCACGCAGTGTAGTATGGAAGGAGCTTTTCTATTAAAAAGTTACTTGCAAGCGCAGCCCCACTATAGTCAAAGGGTCTGATTTTCCAGTGTAGTCCATGACACATTGGAAGTGGTTCTGGAAAGGGAGTGTTTTTTTTGCACTGATGTGAACAATTTCACAAGGTGCACAGCACTGGACAGTCAGGATTACTGACTTCAGTGGTCATTTTGCCTGAGTGTGGACTTCAGTTTTGCTAAGCCTGTGTGGCTATTTGGTTCAATTAGCAGAATGACATATGGAAATAACAATTTTAT